GAAGATCCATATTGAGGTGAGTCGGAGCTTTGATTTCCTCATCTGCCAAATGGGGACAAGGAACAACCGCTACTTCCCAGAGACAGTGACAGAAACACTCAGAGAAGTGAGTGGCACACTTGGCTGCCAAGGAGAGGAGGCTGGGGGCACCGGGAGCTAGGGAGATGGGAGGACACAGAGGGAGGGTGTGTGTGTGGGAATAGGAACATGGGCGCCAACATTTTCTCTCCTACAGGGCGGGAGTCTGGCTACAGACCATGGCAGCTGCATAGTTAGGATATTCCTACCACAGGGATGGCGATGTGGTCTGAGGGGGAAGCACTTGCGGGACACCTGTGAGGACCAGAGTTTGGATCCCCCAGCACCTCATAGCTGGGCGGCTATGATGGTTTGTCTGCAATGCCAGCACTGGGGAACCAGAGACGGGGATCCCGGGGGTGAACTGGCCAGGTAGACTAGTGGAATGGGCAAGCTCTGGGTTTAGTGAGGGCCTTGCCTCGTTAAATGAAGCAGAGCACACAACATCAACCTCTGGTTTGCACACATACCACACACTCACACACACATGCATACGCACCCTCCTCATACTTCATATACACATGTACACACACATATGCAGGTACACACACACTCCATACACACATGTGCACAAACATACATACATATGCACACACACACCCCATGCACACACACAATAGCATATAAGAGCACATACAAGTGCATACACCTTGCTTACACCAACTACCCTCCAAGAGTGACCTCTCCCAAGGGCCCATCCTCCTCTCCCCACCAAAGCAACCAAGGATGTCAGAAAGCTTTAAGAACAGCGCTATCTCCCTCCTGTGCTCCATAGTTCAAGTCTGAGAGGAAGCAGCTCCTATATCAGCATTAATTAAACTGCCAGTGAGTAAGCACCCATTACTCTCCGCATAAATCCAGCCCCATCTTCTGGGCAAGAATCCCCAGGCTGTAGCAACGAGGGCCGGGGTTTTATGGAACCTTAAAAAAATTCTCCAGTGCTTCTGAAGGGCTCTTGCTCCCTACCCCTCTTGGAGTGTGGAGAATAGCTCCATGGCTTGTTCCTGGAAAAAATGGCTTCTCTTGACACTTTCTGTCTTAATTTGTAAAATTAGACTTTCATTAAACCTTAAGGAAAATGGACTCGCCGAGTGTTCATTAAACAGGGGGAGCCACACTGCAGAAAAGGAAGAGGTGGGTTTTCCCCTTAAAACTACCCACACAATTTGCATTAATGAATCTCCCTCCCCAGAATCCTGCAGAGAGTAGGGAGAGAGAGCCTTGAGAGTTCCTTGAGGGTTCTGGTAGGCAAATGGGTATTTAGGCAGCTAAAAAGGTCTCGGGTCTCCAGCTGGGAGTCTTCCTTCCGGGCACTCAAAACGCTTGGTGCATTCTGGCGAGCTGAGAACCTTTCTTCCTGGGAACTTGAAGCACTTGGCACACTCGGGAGGCCGATGCTACAGGATAAGGGGGTGGCATTCTGCAACCTTCCTAGGAGTAATCATGTGCCCTCCCCACAGCCGTTGGGGTTCTGTGATCCATAGCACAGTGTCTAGCCAGAGCTATTAACAGCTCCCCTAATCCCCATCCCCATTTAACTGCCTCAGAGATTAGGTCCTGAGTCCCTAGCTTCCTCATCCTCAGCAACTTCCTACACCCCAGCTCTTGGTCATGTGACCTAACAGTGCTTGCTGTGGGAGGAGCCTAAACTCTTTGCTTCCTTGTTGAACTTCATCATGTGACTTGCCTTAGACAGTGTCTGTGGGAGGAGGTGGTCAGGAGACCTTCCAGCTGCATTTCCAGTCCCTTGCATCCGTGCCATCTCCATGCTCAAGGTGTGCTCCCCAAAAGTCCCTGGTGCCCAAAAGAAACACACAAGCAGGTTCTGCTGGAAGCTAGTCCCAGTTGGCAAGTGCCCAGCTCTCTGCAGACATGAGGTGAGGAAAAAGTGTGTTGTAAGCCACTATAACTGGGAGGGGCTGTGTGTTTCACAGCAAACAGCAACAGGGGCTCTGGGTCACTTAGGGGAGTTTTCAGGACATTTTGATAGCTAGACTTCATCACACATATCCTGATTGTCATGGTGCGGAGTGGCCTGGGCACCGCGCCAGTGACCCCAGTCAGTGACCACTGCATTCCATCCGCTCTCAGCAGCCCTGTGAGCTAGGGTGTGCCCACTGTGAAGTGTCTTTTCCTGGCCAACAAACCTCTCCGCCGAAGCAAATAATCCCAATCAGACCGAATTAAAAGATACCCATGTTTAATGGCTGCCAGCACTTCTGGGTGGCCCCATGAAAACATGGAGAAGAAAAGGGGAGACCACGGGAAACCAGGAGACCACATGTTCATTCTCTGGGAGGGGGCAGTTTAAATAGCCTGTGGGAGTGGTCTTGACCCTCCCTGGGGAGGGGTCACCGTTTGGCGGGCTTTCTCGGAGGTGGAGTTTGGACTGAAGCAACTCCCAGGGAAGGGAGCTTTGAAATGGAACTTTCCACCCAACATTCCAAAAATGGATGCCCACGGGGCTGAGGGGAAGATCTCCAACTAAACAATCCAGATTCTTTGTATAATGGGGTGCCAGGGAACTGAGGTGATGCTTTTAACCAAGCACCCACCTCACTCTAAAGGTGAAACTGAGCATCTTAGTCAGGTTTACCATTGCTGTGATGAACAGTGTGACCAAAGCAAGCTGGACAGGATTCCAGTTAATTCAGTTTACACTTCCACACCATAGTCCATCACTGAGGGAAGTTGGGGCAGGAACACAACCAGGGTAGGACCCTGGTGGCAGAAGCTGATGCAGAGGCCGTGGGAGAGTTCTGTTTACTGACCCATTCCCCATGGTTGGCTCAGCCTACTTTCTTAGGGAACCCAGAACCACCAGGCCAGGTATCCCATCACCCACATTGAGCTGGACCCTCCCACACCAATCACTGATTAAGCTGAATCCCATGGAGGCGTTTTTCTTAATTGAGGCTCCCTCTTTTCAGACAACTCCAGCTTGCATCAATTTGACAGAAAACCAGTTAGGACACGGAGTGTCGCAGACTCAGAGCAGTATCGAGAGGCCTATTGTCAGGAGCACACCCAGTTGCCCACATGTCACTCACAAACAAGCAGATCTCAGACCAAAGTAAGATGCTGGAAGCAGCAATGCCCCAGCTAAGCCAGGGGATCTTTGGTCCAAGTCTGTCCTGTGAATGTGCGCTCACCTGGCAACTCAGCCTCACTCCACCTGCCTTCCTGAGGTGTGTCAGATGCCACCTGCACCAGAGGGCAGAAGCCACAGAAGGCCACCCATCCTAGTTAGCGTTATTGTCAGTTTTGCACGGCTTAGGGTCCTCTGAGAGAAAAGCCTCCGTTGAGGGAGCTGCCCCGACTGTAAATTATTATGGAAGGCCCAGCTTGCCATGGGCAGTACCATGTCTGGGGAAGTGCCCTAAACTGTGTATGAAAGCTGGCTGAGTATCAGCCAGTGAGCAAGCCAGCAATTAGCATCTTCAATGATTTCCACTTCAAGTTCCTGCTTGAGTTCCTGCTCTGATTTCCCTCAGTGATGAACTTTGACCTGGAAGCAGAAGCCAAAGAGCTCTTTCTTCCCTTTCACAGAGTGCTTATTGCATAACAGAAAGCGACTAGCCCAGCATCTGCTTGCTGAACCTGAGCCTCCATCCTTTGTCTGTACCATGCAGGCTAAGAGGAAGGGAGCCAGTGGGCCTGCTCTATAAGAGCTGTGTGCTGTGAGATAGCCCTTGACCTCAGGAAGCAGGATATGTGAGGTCCAAAAAGCCTGGCTCTGCCACCACAAGACACCCAGCATCTCCAAGCCTCCATTTCCTCTGCTGTGGAATGGTTAGCACGCTAATATAGCAACTCCACCCTGGGGAGACTGAAGATTATTGAGATGACACTCGAAAAGGATAGCATCCATCAACAGCAGCTCCAGGGGCTCCAATGCAGGGGCTGGCTTGATCTCAGGCAAGCAGAGAAGACAGGGGAGGCCAAGGTTAGCCAAGAGACCACCAGGGCAAACTCGGGTCTCTCGCTCCTAGGCACAGAAGAAACTCACCTGCCATAAGCCAGTCTGCTCCAGGCCACCAAGCACGCCTCTCTCTGCAGGGGCCTGGCAGCCATGAATGTGTGGATATCCTCCAGGCCCCGTTCATTCCCGCTAATATCTCCCAGGGGGCTGATCGATGAAGACAGGCGAAAATCTATAGTCATGTGACAGAACGTGTACTGCCAGCCCTCCAGGAAATGATTACTTCGAGGTAATTTTGAACCTCCAGACTGTGATGCAGTGTCTCATATTTTAAACGGCATGAGCGTGGAGGAGAATGCAACAGTGAGACCTTGTACCTCACTGCAACTGTGGGGAGAAACACACAGGAGACAAGCAGGTTGCAGGGAAGGCAGATGCAGGATCGGGTGCTTCGCATTGAGCCTGACAGAAGCAGCGCAGGACTAGGCATTTAGTCTGACCACCAAGGGCAGTTGGTGCCTGCTCTGCCCTGGACTGCCCCAGGAGAGACCCCACCGATGCCAGAGATCTTCCAGATGCCCACACCTGAATTAGGAAGGTAGGACACTGGACAACTGCCTCTGGAGGCTGGGTGACTTTCTCTGCCCTCCTGTGACCATGGCTGCACCCGTGACACAGCAGATTCCATAGTGTTTCTCCTTCCTTACAAATCTCCCTTGCAAATGGATGTTCCCAAAGACAGACACAAGTGGCCCGGCTGAGCAAGATCCAAAGGTCAGAAACCGGTTCACATAAATGCAGCTGCCAGACATATCACAAAGGTATCAGGGCAGGCAGAGGGAAAGGAGAAAGTCCCCAGAAGCATGGGGTGAGGATGGGGGGGGGGGAGTTGCTGGGCTTACATGGCTGCAAATGAAGACACACAGGGAAGCCTTCAGACTACTGCTAGGGAGAACCATGCTGTAGTCCTGAAGTCAGCAAAGACCCCAAAGTGTCAGCACCGTACCAAAGTGTTAACTAAAGGAAACATTGGGAACTTGGACAAAGGCCATCACTGTTTGTAATAATCAGGAGGCACCGTGGAGGGAGCAACAGTGCCGCAGCGGGGTGGAAATGGATATTTGCAAAATCAAAGACTTATCGGAAAGGAAAGGAACTCTTGGGGATTGTTTTTTAAAAACACACGTCAGGGCTGGGGCGATGACCCAGCAGGGAAGAGCGCTTGGTGTACAAGCTTGAGGACCTGAGTTCACATCTTCAGAACCCATATAAGAAGCTGGGAGAGCACTGCGTGCTCACCTCCAGCCCAGCGCTGCAAAGGGAGGGCACAGGAAGGTCGCTGAGGTTTGCTAGTCACTTGCCTGGCTCCAGGTTCAGTGAGAGAGGAGGCATACAGATGGAGTAACTGCCAACATCCTCCTCTGGTCCATGGCACACACCCTCTCACACACGTGCACACACTCCATCCACTCAAAACTTGCTCATGCTTGTGCATCTTCCAGCTTGATCCTGGCTCGTAGGTGGACAACTGCGCCATTCTGTGCTCAAGAACCTGTGGGAAAGGAAGTAGCAGGACTCTCACCTGGGTCTCAGCACCTTAAACTCCTGTTCCCTGGGTGTCTCTGGTGGAGCCCACACAGGTAAGAGAAGACTCATTCCTCAAGGTCCCGTGCACCTGCTTGGTGTCATTTTGACCGCGGCCCCTTCCACCTGATGGAAGTGTCACAGTGTTAATTCCGAGAGGAAGGCTCCCTGGGTAGGAAGACATTGGGAGTCCACCGCCTACAGTATGGAAATTAACATGACGACTCCTGCTTTTTTGTGCAGACTTCCAGGCTCGGCCACATCCTACCTGTGATGAGCCATTCAGCTTCTGTGAGTCCCAGTTTACTCAGATTTACAAAGAAAACATTTATTCATGTTATTGGTGTGTGCACGCACACCAACGTGCATGCACACACACATACACATATACACACAGAGGCACATGTATGCCACAGTGCCCATGTGGAGGTCAGGGAAAAACTTGTGAGACTCAGTTCCTTTCTCCTGCCATGTGAGTTCCAGATATCAAATTCAGGTCATTGGGTTATTGGGCTTGGCCACAAGCACTTTTACCCACTGAGCCATGTCATCCTCCAGTTTCCTCTTCTTAACAGAGGTTTGAAATTATAAAATTAAAATTTTATACACACACACAGAGAGAGAGAGAGAGAGAGAGAGAGAGAGAGAGAGAGAGAGAAGGGAGGGAGGGAGGGAGGGAGGGAGGGAGAGTCCAGTTATGATGATCAATTGGCCTAATTTGCTCATGAACACAGCCAGAGACTCAGCTGTGTAAAACCAAAGTTTTCTGAAGTTTTAGTGCTGGACGGATGCTGGCTTCAGTTCCTGAACATGACTTAAGCAGTACAAGGATACATGACTAGGACAGGTAGGTCCCGCTGTAACAGACAGTTGAATCCCTCTGTCCCAGTGAGGGTTACCATTGCTGTGCTGAAACACCATGACCAAAGCAACTTGGGCAGGAAAGGGTTTATTTCAGCTTACACTTCCAGGTAACAGTTCTTTGTTGAGGGAAGTCAGGGTAAGAATCTGGAACTCTCAACACTCAATGACTTTTCTAGCCTGAAATTCCAAAGACCTTCCACAATCATTCTCAAAATGATCCGGTCTGTCACAGCAATACCCCTCTATCCTCGTACCGATTTGTCAGGGTTCCTATTGCTGTGATGAACACCATGACCAAAGCAACTTGGGGAGGAGAGGGTTTATAGTGTTAACATTTTGATATTGTTGTTCATTATTAAAGGAAGTCAGGGCAGGAACTCAAGCAGGGCAGGAATTTGGAGGCAGGAGCTGATGCAGAGGCTGTGGAGGGTACTCCTTACTAGCTTGTTCCCATGGCTTGCTCAGCCTTCTTTTTTTTATAGAATCCAGGACCACCACCCACCGTGGACTGGGCCCTCCCCCATCAATCACTAATAAAATCCCCCCCCCCCCCCCAGCTGTAGCTTATGGAGGCATCTTCTTAATTGAGACTTTCTGCTCTCAGATGACACCAGCTTGCATCAGCTGGAACTAGCCAGGACACACTCTTTCTTGTGTACTCCACGGCAGAGGTGGGCTGCACTCAGATCTCCCAGCACTAGGCTCAGCTGCTAGGACTGGAGTCACTAGGGCCACCCACCCACACAGCTGAACCCTTATGGAGACAAAGATGCTTGCCTTCATAAGCTGGCTTCTCTCTCTCTCTCTCTCTCTCTCTCTCTCTCTCTCTCCCCACTCTGGTCTTCCCCTCCAACTGTTGACCTGGGCGGGTGCTGTGGGTTTCCCAGCCTCTGTAGGAGTTTTTAAATGCTTAGACATAAAATGTCAGGAAAAGTCAAAACCGTGTGACCCTTTGAAGCCTGGGGCAGCTCCCCTGGGTGGAGCCCGACTGCTGGCCTCCCAGGTAAGCCTCTCCATCCCTGTGACTGCCCAGACTGCAGCTCTCCGGGTTCAAGGTGCAGTGTTGCTCCGTCTGGCTCCTCAGGACAACTGGGTTCCAGCCCAGGCTTTGGGTCTAGAATAGGAATTCAATTCATCTCTCCTCCCAAGGAGTCAAACCCACATGAGCATTTCCCTCACATTCCTCCCAACCATGCGGCCTTGGACAAATACTTTCCTGAGCCTCTATTTCTTCCTCTGTAACACAAGACAATACTGGGTCCCACCACACACAGCACTGTATGTAACTGTATGCAATACCCCAGGAAAAACCAGAAAGTGTGCAGCAAACGCCCCTCTAGGGCCACTCTCAACGGCAATGGGAAAAATCCAACCCCCAAGTCCAGCATTGCTGAGGTGTGGTGAGAAAGGCACAATGACCGACCACCCTGTCCGTACCACTTAGCCCCGGTCTGCGCCCCCCAGCTCTCCCCTGGCTCTCCCTCCCCATCCCTCCACTTCATGCTTCTCTGGTGTCTTCCTGGTGACAGTCTCCCTCAGTCCCTACATTCCACCAGTCTCATTCTGGTTGGCTTTGATGTCTACTTGACACAGCCTAGAATTACATGGGAAGAGAATCTCAGTGAAGGAATTGCCTACATCACTGACCTGGGGCATGGGGGCATGATGGGTAAGTGATGCAGGAGAGCCCAGTTCACTGTGGGCAGCATCAATCCCTAGGCAGATGGTCCTGAATGCTATAAGACAGTTGTTTGATCATAAGCCAGCCAGCAGTGTCTTCCATGCTTCCTGACTCACTTCTTTGGCTGTGAAGCAAGTTCCTTGGTTGGAGGTAAGACTGTGGAATAGCAAGTTCCTGCCTGGAGTTTCTACCTTGACATCCTTCAGTGATGGAGTGTGAACTGGAATCATGAGCCAAATAAATAGTTTCCCCCTAAATTACTTCCAGTCTGGATGTTTGTCACGGCAACTGAAGGTCAATAGGTCCAGCCTCAGCAGTTAGCATGCTATCTCTGCCCACAGTGCCCTTCACACACACTGCCGACTCCCACCTAGTTCTTTACGTGAACATCTCCTTGTCAGAGAGGACCCAAGTGTCATCTCATTTCTATGCCTCTGCTTTGTAACTTTTATTTATAAGTTTATTATTGTCCAGACTGCAGCTCTCCAAGACTCACCAAGGCTCTTGGCTACAACTCATCAGGGAACTAACTAAATGAAAGGCTGAGTGATTGGATGGATAGATCAATAAATGATGGATGGAGGGGTGGTGGATGAGTAAGTGGATGGACGTGTGTATGTATATATGTGTGGATGAGTGTATGTATATATATGTGTGTATGTATGTGAGGATGAGTATATGTATATATATGTGTGTGTATGTATGCGCAGATGAGTGTATGTATATGTGTGTGTATGTATTGCAGATGAATGTATGCATATATATGTGTATGTATGTATGTGTGGATGAGTGTATGTATATATGTGTATGTATGTGTGGATGAGTGTATGTATATATATGTGTATGTATGTGTGGATGAGTATGTGTATATATGTGTATATATGTATGTGCGGATGAGTATATGTGTACATATGTGTATGTATGTATGTGTGGATGAGTATATGTGTACATATGTGTATGTATGTATGTGCGGATGAGTATATGTATACATGTGTATATATGTGTGGATGATGTGTATGTATGTATCTGTGGATGAGTATATATGTGTATGTGTGTGTGGATGAGTATATGTATATATATGTATGTATGCGTGTGTAGATGAGTATGTGTATATATGTGTATGTATGTGTGGATGAGTATGTGTATGTATATATATATATGGATGGATGATGAGTATATGTATAGATGAGTATGTGTATGTATGTGTGGATGAGTATGTGTATATATGTATGTATGTATATGTATTTATCTCTATATATGTATGTTTGGATGAGCATGTGTGTGTATATATGTATGTGTGGATGGATGAGTAGATGAATATATGTGTGTATGTATGTATGTATGTATGTATATATGTATGTGTGGATGGATGAATGGATAGGTCCTGGGTTCTATAAGAAAGAAGGCTGAGAGTCATGTGGAGTAAGCCAGTAAGCAGCACCCACCCATGTGGCCTCTGCTTCAGTTCCTGCCTCCAAGCTCCTCCTTTGAGCTCAAACCCAGAGTTCTCTATGATGGGCTGTAGGATGGAGGCTGAAACAAACCCTTTCCTCCCCAGGTTGCCTTTGGTCATGGTGTTTCTCACAGAAGTAGAAACCCCAAGTCACCTGACTTCCTCTCCTCAGCCTACTCCAGTTCCTCTCTTGCTGATCTTTCCCTGGCAGACCCTCAGCAAATTCTCTGCACTGGATCCCTTCCTCAGACTTTGGGGAACTTGACCTAAGACGGCACATTATGACAGAGTCACATGACACAGCCTTTAAAGGGTACAATGTGACAGACACTTTCCAGTGTCTTCTCACACCCTGGAGGCTCATTATGTGCTCCCTGGCCGGGATGCCCCACCTCAGATACCACTGGGATGAGTCATCAGAACTATGACAGAGGTTGATGCAGGGACAAGTCAGACCTGAGGCTTGAAGAGATGAGTCGGTTTCCAAGCAGATCGTGAAGAGGCACTGAGAGACAGACTAGAAGCAGGCAGAGCTGTGAAGACAAGTTAGAGAAATCCAGGAGCGAGCTGCTGATGGTGTGAGCTACATTGGTAGCAGAATGTGTTCATTACCTTAGCTGTGGTCAAACTATCTAAAGCAGACAATGGAAGGGGAGAGAGAGATTTCTGGGCTCACAGCTTTGGAGGGTTCATTGCAGGTTGTCACCATATACTGGGACAGAACATCATGGCTGGAGGAGTGTGTGACTCACAGTAGAGGGGAAGCGAGGAGCTTAAAGGAAGGGGCCAGGAATAATGCATGCTTACAAGGGCTAGCCCCCACCTCCTACAGATTCCACAACGCCCTTCAAAGAGCACCATCTGCTGGTGACAGGGTATATACCACACAAGACTGTGGGGGAACCTTACAGATTTGATCCCTAATGGGGAGGACAGAGAGAGATTTGGGAGGAGGGAATCCCTTCACAGAGTTGAGTGGCTCTGAGGGGGAGGAGTCAGGAGTGGGGGCAGAGATGCCCGAGACCTTGTGTGAACTGTGGGTATGCTGCTGTGGTCACTGACAGGGAACCACAGGGAGGTACGTGAACGCCCGCCAAGTCCCCTGCCCGAGCCATGCTCCTTGCTAAGAGCGCAGAGCTCAGGGACACAGCTGACTGGTGAACTCTGAGGCACGGACCACAGATCCGGCTCAAGAAGGTTTCAACACAGCACCTGCTGTGTTTTCTTGGCCATCATTGGACACTTAATCTCCATCCACAAAGCTCCTTGCAGAGTCTGAAGCCAACAGAAGTCCTGGGTGGGGGAGCACACACCTATGCAGAAGGGCACACCTGTAGTCCAGCTACTTAGGGACCAAAGAAGAAGGATCATGACTCTGAAGTTACATTAAAGAGGGAAAGGGAAGGGAATTGGGGGCTTGGTCTCCACGTCTGGGAAATGAGGGTCCTTGGAGGCCTCTCGGAGCTGTCAAGTTACAGGCACCACCATAGGGCAAGCTCAGCCCTGTGCAGGACAGCAGGAGAAAGGCATAACCAGATGGGCATGTTGCTTTTGAAAGTGGAAGGAAGGAAAGGAGGAAGGAAAGAAAGGAGGAAAAAAGGAAAGAAAGATTTAAAAGGCCAGAAAAATCTTGCATGCATTCACTGCAAAATTTGGCCATTTTGGAAGTCAAAAACCAAACAGTGGTTTGTTCCTCCCACCTCCACCTCGAGCTGGGAGCCCTCCCAACCATGTTTCAAGGCCCCCTGGAGTGGCTGAAATATTATTTTTCTCAGCAGAAATGAAGCTTGGTCTGTGGCTGAAGCCCAGTGCAGCAAGGACGCTTCCCGAGCCCACGTGCTGGACACTTGCTGTTCTGATTGTACATGCCCGAGCCAGGTCTGCACGCTGGGACTTCTGAATCTATTCACAAGGAAATCAGCATGACGCATGGTTAATATTCAGACTGCGATTAACCCGCAGAGCCTCACCCCTTGTTCTAGTTCCTTTCCCTGCTCCCCTCCGAGGGCCCAGCTCTGCTGAAATACATATGGAGTTGATCTAGGAGCCAGATTTATGGAGGCTGCTGAAGCCTGGCATGCCAAGACTCATAAGTCATATTCCTATTATGGGCTGGGCAATAAAAATTCAGATATCTATTCTGCTGGATTTTGAGGAACTCTTGGAACAAATCTAGGCTTCCTAAACATTGTAAGATCTTTTCTAGAGAGATGTCTCCTTGGTGGCTTAGAGGAGCCAGGGCCACCTTTGAACCCCTGTGCTCAGGTAGATGACATCAGCCAGGGTCCCACTCCCCTGAGACAGAGTCCTCATTCTGACCTCTGGGGATAACGGGCTGTGTGACCTAGACACAGTCATACTGGGACACTGAAAACAGCATCCTCGGAGGTGAACTCAAACGCTCTCATTTTTAAGTGAATTATTTTCTGACTCTGGCGTTTGGCCATCACACTCTCCCCCTCTGGGACACTTCCTCACTTGGTTTCAGTTACCTGTGGTCAATCGTGGGCTGAGGACATTACACAGAAAATTTCAACACAATAACATAATACAAATTATGTTGGACACAATTTGAGTAGAATGGTAAAATCTTATGGCATCCCATGGGAACAGAATCATCCTTTTGGGACCTAGAGACAAAGGTGGAGAGGGCTAAGAGCAGTGGCTGCTCTTCTAGGGGACCCAGGTTCAAATATTGGCACTGATAAGTGGCTTTAACCCTCCTTAACTCCAGTTCCAAGGGAAATGATGCCCTCTTTTGGTCTTCTGAGGTACTGCAGGTATGTGGAGAACAGATGAGCACACAGACAAAACACTCATAGCACATAAAGTAAAAAAATATAAATCTTAAAAGCAAACAAGATAATCATCTCTTTATCATCATGCTTCATAGAGCATATCCACACTGACTGTGTTACTTACCCAGTAGCAACTTGTGGCAAGTTCTCAGTTACCCACTTCATAGAGTATGGCTGTGTTTGTTAAAGATCTCTCTCTCTCTCTCTCTCTCTCTCTCTCTCTCTCTCTCTCTCTCTCCCTCTCCCCCCCTCTCCTTTTTCAAAACAGTTTTTTTTTTTTCTGTGCTGCCCTGGCTGTCCTGGAACTCACTATACTCACTATATAAACCAGACTGGCCTTGAACTTGGAGAACCGCCTGCCTCTGCCTCCCAAGTGCTGGGACTAAAGACATGTGCCACCACTGCTGGCTTGGTGTGACAGGCAACACTCAATTTACCTCAACACACGTACATCATGTCAACTCACTTGACCCAGGAAGGAGCTTCTGTGGTGGAGAAAGATGCTCGGAAACAGAGAGGCCACAGCCACTTCTCTTTCTCTCAGCATATCGCGTTAACTGGTCTCTCTTATCGCCTTGGCTAGTCTTTTACTGTGCCCCAAACGTAATCACACATCTAGACAGATGGCAGGCAATCTCCTCGTCTTCAGCCAGCCTCTGGTGGCCTCAGAACACATCTCCTGTGGATGACGGTGACTGCGCAGTTGAGATTATTTCCTCGCATTCCTGACGTGTGACAGCCATCCTGAAGTGATCTGTATGGTGGCTGGTCACTGCTGGTGTGTGTGGAAGCCTATCCCGAGAGGAAATTAAAGCAACCCTGGGAACTGAGAACATGAATGAAGTCTGGAAAAAAGGGAGAGAGTAAGCCCCAGTTGGTTCCTGAGCCTGCCAGCAGCTAGGGCCAGACAGAGGCCTTTGTCAGCTGTTTTCCCGATGGCGAGTTACCCTGCTCCCTGGAAGATAAAAGGCCTCAGGCTGCGAGCTCTGCAGAAAGGTAAGTGCCTGAAACAGCCAGTGCAGTGTGAGCCTGGCAACCGGGTGCGAGTGGGGAGCGGGAATCTGTTTTCATGGTTTCTGAAGTCCCCGTGTGTACGGAAAGAGGATGATAGACCTTCAGCTGGAGAGTTGACATCTGTTCAGGGGACCCCAGCAGGGCTGGTGCCCAGAAACTGTGGGTCACACTCAGGAGTTCTGTGGGTGCCTTAACAGAATAGGTGTGAAAATTCTTCTCTAAGGGAGATATAAACATCATTTACTTTCTGAAGCACGATTAATAAAAACTCAGAGAGAGAAATTGGGGTTCAACCTGAAGACCCAAAAAGCAAAGCAGCCAGCCACTGGCTCTTACCTCGACCTCAGTCCGAAATGGTGATCTTGCCTCCAGGAATCTCACAATGAGACTGTATCTGAGAACTGTCTCCACCCATTTTATAATTCTCTCTAGTTCTGGGATTAAAGGCATGCACTGCCCGGTTCCTACGGCAACTAGTGTTGCTACTGGGATTAAAGGTGTGTGTCACCACTGCCTGGCTGTAAGGCTGGCCAGTGCTGCTGTTTTACTCTCCCAATCTCCCAATCCTCAGGCAAGCATTATTTATTAAAATACAATTGAAATGCCCCAACTTTCTCCTGCATTCCCAGTAACAAATGACAGCTCCTCCCGTTCACCCTGGGGACCCAGTTTCTTAGGTTACTTACCTAAGAATTGGAAGGTCTGTGCTGAGCATGGAGGATACTCCCCACCCTGACTGCGAGGAACTCATCCCTGTTAGCTTTCCCACCTAGGCGCTCTGGCACCTCCTAAGTACAGTCAGGCCAAACTGCACAAAAATGTCAGGAGGGGTTGGCTGGACTTTCAGGTTAAGGTCCTATGATCTGCCCACCCCTCCTTCCGTGAGGGCATGTCAACAAGCCACAAGCCTGACCGTGTTGATCTGATGAAGATGGCGGCTGCTCGGAGGAATAGGGAAACCAGGAAAAGCAGTGTGGGTGTAACCGTGTGTGTGCTCACATGTGCTTTTTCTGGAACAAAGTCTGTTCTGTTTTGTTCTCTAGATGTCTGAGGAGTTAGTTTAATGGTGCCAATCATTGGAACTGTGATAAGAACGTTTCAGAATAAAGAAAAGAAGGGACGGGGTGTAGCGGTTAGGATAGAGTTGGAAAACTAGGCTGGGCTCAAGGGGCCTGGAAGTCCGATGAGCTGCTTAGGAAACACTTTCCAGCCCGAGTCACCTTCACACAGTGGAGGCCTCACAGGGAGGAGTGTGAGAACCTGGGCGTTATTTCCCTCTGGTTATACCATGTTCTTTTGACCTCCACTCAGAGTTCAGCAACATGGACCTGGCATTTTAAGCATCCTACAGACCCTCCTCGCCGGCCCTCAGCTTCTTTCTCGGTGCTGATCTCTGGAAACATAATAACTACCCACAGTCCTCTGGTGCTTTGTGAACACTCCTGGGAGGAAGGCATGGACACAGTCTGGAGAGGCGGTCGGAAGGGCATGAAATCTGCCACGCTAGTGGATGCAACCGAGCTCAGAACATCTTCTTGGGTGAGCTACCCAAACGGCCTCAGTTTCCAATCTGAAAATTGGGTGAATATTACGATTTTATAGGATATCTGAGTGAATCTCACATGCTCTGTGCTGTTCCCAGCACACATCGTCCACCATTGCTTTAGAAACTTCACCAAAAGACAGACTCTACAGAACTGTCTGAAAATTTCTTAGGTCAGCAGCCTGAATATTCGGGTTGCAATGACTGTCAGCCAACGAAGGTCTGCCAGGAGCCTCCTGCCTGCCTCCTACGTGGGCTTGCCAGGATGAGACTCATACCCATTAGGCTCACGGGGAAGGCAGACTTGGCTCATGAACAGGCCCCATACGTTCTGGGAAGGGGGAGTCATGAGTAGAAACTGGATAAAAGCACACCCCACCTCACACACACACACAGAGAGAGAGAGAGAGAGAGAGAGAGAGAGAGAGAGAGAGAGAGAGAGAGAGATTCTTCTTTTGAAGGAAATGGGTGCTGAGAACACGAGATTGAGTGAGTGCTCAACCCTAAACAGGACATCTTTATTACCCAAGGGTCATTGAGCAAGGGGAGGCGACAGAAGCTGAGGGATAGGAGCTGCGCCCTTAGGAACTCACAGCAGCTGTGGGTACCTGCACACGATTTAGCTGAGCTTCCGACCTCACACACACTGAGGAGCTATAGGAAGTGGATCGTGGTGGGACGAGGACGGGGACGGGGGGCGCATTCTTTTCTGAGGGTGCAGTCATGGAGGTTTCCCATTTGCTCCTGTGGATGTCCCACACCCATGCACATATGGACTTAGTGGGTTATTGAAAAAGAAAAAAAAGAGGTGCTGTTGGGAGGGGTTGTGGAGGAGGGATATGCGAGGAGCTTGAGGAGAAAGGGGGTGGATATGGTCATATTTCATTGTCTAGATGAATTAAATTCCCAAGATTAAAGAACATTTTAATACTAAGAAGTGGGCGGAGGAAGGATTGCAGAGGGAGCACACGAGGACCACTAAGTTGGGAAAGAAGGCGGTGCGCTACAGGAGTCAGAGGAAGCACAGTGCCCAGCTGCCCTGGGTTCAGACCCCCACAGTAGCGCTTCTCACTTTCACCCTGGGCCCATCTGTTCCATTCTCCCCACAACACGGCTCCCTTCGGCCATTTAGATGAAATTCCAGCTCTTACAGAAATCCTAAAGGGCCCTACTGACTCTGCACACTGGGCTTCCTCCTCAGAGCCTTTGCAGCTGCTCTTCTGTGTTCCTGGAAGTCACTTCCTCGAGCCCTATCCTGTTCCGTCTCCCGGTGGCGTCTTAGCTCTGCCATCAACCAGACAGGCTTCCTCACTTCTTCACTGCGCATGGACCCACCCTTCCTCTCCATCTATCCTCCTCAGACCTCCGAACACAGACCCACCCCCCACTGTCTGTCAATCATCCTCCTGCTTCCTGCACACAGACCCACCCCCACTGTCTGTCAATCATCCTCCTGCTTCCTGCACACAGGCCCACCCCCACTATCTGTCAATCATCCTTGGGCTTCCTGCACGCTGCTTTTTGCTACTTGTTTTCTCTGTGAAGCCCTCACTCCTGTTCCCACTGCTTTGGCTGAGACTCACCTCTCAACAGGGTGTCTGCAGGCACTGACGGCGGCCCTGGGGGCGGTTGGGATTCCCACCCCAGCTTTATCATCGTCGCTGGTCACGTACAGGTTGCTGTGAGATACCCAGCAAAAGGGACCTGAAGGGGAAGAGTTTGTTTGGGCTCGCAGTCTAAGAGAACCCAGTTAACTCATCATCGTGGGCAGCAAGGTGGGAGGTGGCTCCGTGGTGGCCAGAGTGTGCCACTAGGACTTGGTGAGGGAGCCTTGTCTGTATTCTGTCAATCATGTTTTAAATAAACGCTGATTGGCCAGGCAGGAAGTATAAAATCTCAAGGCCCATCCTCATTGGCCATCACACTTTTCCTCCAGAGGACCCGCCTCCTGACGTTTCCCAAAACAGCACCGCTGGCTGGGGACCGAACTTTGGGACACTAAAACCTCTAGGAAACATTTCACATTCAAACCACATCATTATTTGATGGCTGCCTGGGCTCGGGCAAAGTGCTTCACCGCTCTGTAACTCAATTTTCCCATCAGGAAGATGGAGCCAACATTCACACCGGAGCAGACGGCCCTGGAGTCAGAATGTTTGTAGGCCTGGAACTCACTGTGTGGCCCAAGTTGGCCCCAGACTCCAGCCTCTCCCTACTGCTGAAGTTACAGGTAGGGATCACCACATTCAGAAACTCTGGAGATTTTAAAAGTCCCATGCTCCTCTGGTTACTGGTGTCAGGCTGTCGTTTCTGATTTCTGGTTTCATAGGCAAGCCTGCAGTCAGGCCAGCTTCCTAGGAAGCTCGGACAGCGAGATGGCCTGAAGCAAGCACCCTGCCTTCTCTCTGCAGAACCCACGCTCAGCTCCGGGCCTGTGTGCTGATTGCTGTGTGTTATTTCATGCCGCGGTCACAGCAGCCCTGGATGGGTTTCTGGTGCTGCGACGAAACACCACAACCAGAGAACAACTTGGGGAGGAAAGGGTTTGTTTGCCTTCCACTTCAGCATTGCTGTTCATCACTGAAGAAAGTCAGGATCGAACTCAAACAGGGCAGGATCCCAGAGGCAGGAGCTGAGGCAGAGGCCATGGAGGGGGGCTGCTTCCCCTGACTTGCTCAGCCTACCTTCCTATAGAACCCAAGACCACCAGCCTGGCAATGGGACCACCCACCATGGACTGGGCCCTCCCCCACTGATCACTCGATGAGAAAATGCCTTACAGATGGCTGTCATGGAGGGACTTCCTTCCTCTGAGGACTCTAGCTTCTGTCAAGTTGACACACACAACCAGCGAGTAACAGAGTTCTATTATTCCTTCAATAGAAGGAAACGGTGCTTGGTGATTAAACGACAGAACCAAGGACGCTTAACTGAGAAAGAAGCAGGAACCCATACCTAGGCTGGACCCATGGCCCTCTACCCCCTGAAACGGGCTCAGCAGCCCCACCTGCAGCATATCACATGACCTTCAATATGGCCTCCTCTCATTATCTGGGATACTGTCTCTATTAGCTGCCCATCTTACAGGGGAAGCCCGAGTGTCGAGATCGGCCGATTCCCCAGAGTAGAAAACTGCATAGTCAAATCCAAATCCACTCTACAGGACTTGGAATCCATTCCCTTCCCCCACACCTGTCAATCAAGTCAGCTCACACAGAAACTCTGAGGTGAGCAGGCACACATAATCCCCGCAGAGCGGGGGAGCTCCTGCAGGATCTGACCACAGCCCACTGGATAGAGGTCAGACACCTCACTCTGCTCTAATTGCTAGGCCCCTCTGCTGGCTCAGTAACTCCTGAGCCGACTGCGTTTGGGGCCCCCCTGTCACCGTGTTTTACAGCCCTCTTGTTGAAGAGCAAAATCTGTATTGATTTCAGAACAATTCAAGCTGTAAATTACTGGCCATGATTGGCTTGGTAACCCTGAGATGAGAATCTATTGACTGGATCAAGGGCTTAAATCTAATTATCGTCCCAGGAAAGCCATTGGCAGGGCTGCTCAATGCCTGTGTGGAAAGGAACGGTTAAACAGTCGAGGGCTACATAGAAAAATCTAGAGTTATCCAGGGTCTCTGAAGATCCAAGCCCAAGAATTTCCCTGGGCCCCAACCAGCTTTGGGTGGTTTCTGTAACTAATAATAGCGATATCAATGGTAATAACAAAGTAGCTCTGCTGCCCTGAGGCCCGGGCAAGCCACTCAGAGTCCCCTCTGTCTGTTTCCTTATCTATAAGTAGAGGCAGAAGGGATGCTTGCCCCATCACAGGGTCAGGGGTAAAATGAAGCGATCCACGTGACTTGCTAAGATTGGAGCTTGGCACATTTTACCTGTTACAGGGAAGAAAAAACAGAACAGGGATGTGAAGGGCCTTGCCTGAGGGTCACACGACCAACTTGGGCTATAGACCTAAAAATGGTCCTTAACTGCTAACATTTAAATGTGGTTGAGGGGCTGGAGAGATTGCTCAGTGGTTAGAGTGCTTGTCTGAGTGCAGTTCCCAGCACCCACATGGGTGGCTCACAGCTTCGGGGGGGTGGAACTGTCTGTCTTCTGCACTCATATACAAATCTTTCTCTCTTTCTCTGTCTCTCTCTCTCTCTCACACACACACACACACACACACACAACTAAATGCACTAAACAAAAACAAACCACTGGAACCTTGCCGACCAGACTTACCCTCTCTTCCCCAGGCCCAGAGATACCAAATTCTATTGGTAGACTCTTGAGCAAAGGGATGAATTCAAGATTTTGAGTTTCCTGTATCATCCTGGATGAGAAGCTAGAAGG